CTTCACTGGGGCCAAAAAGCAGAGGTGTCGGGTAATCTGGAACAAAAGATTAGTGGTGAAAACTGGCTGAACAATGGACTACCTTTTTAAAAAGATTGTTTAGGTACAGTGTAGGTTCTCCCTTAAGGAAAGGACAAACAAATTGGAGCTGCTTAGATGAAAGAGAGGAGATAGACATTAAGAAAAAGAAAAGTTGCTTATGACAGCTGTTGGGTTGAAGATAAAATTGAGAACCACTACCGAAAGTTCAGAGGAGTAGCAAAAAAAATCAACAGAGGCTGGATTGTGAGAATTAAAAACTGCTGGCCAACACATGGGATGGAATAGGTGAAATTCCCAAAGTGTTCGACAGGCGCATCCATCATCATAAAAGGGTGGAAATACAATAATTAGAGGCCTAACTTATTTGTACACAAGAAAGGGGCATGTGTCAGTACCAATAAGCTAGATGCTACCCAGGCTATGGTGGCTTGGGAGGAAGTTATGCCACAAAAAGGATGTAAAATTGATGAGAAAGTGTTAAATATTCATATTTAAAGTTGACAAGGTACCTGAATCATATGAGATGCATCCCAGATTAATGAAGGTTGTGAGAGAAAATTATAGCACATGCCACAATTTTCCAGTCTTCTCTCAACTCTGGGGAACTGTAGAGGGACTGGAGAATTGCCGACATTCCACCCTTCTTCAAAAAATGAAGACAAGCTCATCAATTACAGACCAGTCAGTTTAACTTCCGTAGGGCAACTTTTTAGAATCAGTTATTCAGGATAGATAGAGTAATCATCTGGATTGATTAGAAATCCCTGTGGATTGTTCTTTAAGAGAAAATATTATTTAACTTGCTGGAGTTTATAAAGTGGTAATGGATAAGAAGACTTTGCTGATGTGTGCATGGACTTTCAAAAGGCATTTAATATACCGTTACACAAGCTTGAGAAAAGCTATAGCTCGAGTAACAACATGGATACAAACTTCATTTGAGTGATTAGGAAAATTGGTGAGTAGATTGTTTTAAGACTGGAGGAAGCTTTATAGTGGAGTTCCCCAGGGGTTGGTGTTGGGACCTTGTTTTTCCTGATGTGTATATTAATGATCTATGCTTTGGTATGCAGACGATACAAAGCCTAGAAGCATTGTAAGCTCTGTGAAGGATCATGTAGATAGCCAAAAATAAATTGACAATTTCCATTAGCATTCCAAATAGTCTGCTGCACCTGCGTGTTAGCCTTTAATAATCTATTAAGTGACATTTAGATTCTTTTCACATGCACTTTCCAAGCTCTTGCTAGCGAAGGAATGCTCGACACATCAGTTCCTCCCATCAACTTGGATAACATCTTGTTTTTCCATGTTTTCTCTCTGCCATGTTCTTGCCTATTCACTAAGCCTGGTCTGAATCTTCCTGACAGCATTGTATCATCTGCAAATTTGCAAATATTGCAGTTGGTCCCAGCTCAAAATCGTTGCTATATATCATGAACAGCTAGGGCCCTAACTACTGCTCCTTTCAGTACCCCACTAGCCATAGCCTGGTGACATGCATGACCCATTTTCTCCTACTGTTTTCTGTCATCCTGTCATTTCATTACCTCTTTTTATCCTTTGTGTTTCAATTTTTCTAACTAGCTTCGTGTGGAGGACTTTATCAAAAGCTTTCTGGAAATCTTAAGTACATTATGTACATCAGCTCTCACTTATCTATTTTGTTAGTTAAACCTCCCAAAAAATCTCACCAAGTTCATCAAACATTTTCCATTTACAAATCTATGCTGATGATGTCCAATGTCTATTTTAATACATCCTTTGTAATAGATTCTGCCATTTTTCCTGCTAACAGGTCTGTAGTTCCCTGTTCTCCCTCTCCCTCTCCCTCTCTCTCTTCTTCCCCACCCCTTAAATAGTGGAGTGACATCTGTTGGCTTCAAATCCACAGGAATCACTCCAGTGTCTATAGAAGTTTGGAAAATTACCAGTACATCATAGCTGCCACCTTGAGCAGTCTGGGATGCAGATGGTCAGATTTTGGGGCTATATTAGTCCCATTAAATTCTACAGTCCCATTAAATTTCCTCATTATCCCTTGCCACTGGATTTTTAGTTTTGTAAGGTTTCTTGAATCTTACTCAGTGAAAACAGGCACAAAATAAACATTTTAACTCCTCTGCCATTTCTCTCATCCTCAATATAAATTCTCTTGACTCTTTCAGAAATGGACTTGCGTTCATTTTAACCAAATTTCCTTTTAGCAGGGAATTTTTTTATGTTCTGCTCTTATTTTTTTGTTAGAGTGCATTCATACTGTGCTCCCCATTTCCTTTAGTTTTTTTGTCCTCCTTTGCTATATTCTTAAACTTCCCAATCCTAGAGTTTACAATTGTTTCTGGCAACTTCATGGACATTTTCTCTTAATCATTTACAATCCTGATCTAAAATTGTACAGCACAGATGAGGCCCATCAAGTCTGCAGCATTTCAAGTGCTCATGCACGTACTTTTTAAAGACAGGTTTTCTCGCCGCCCCTCCCAAACTTCCCAGGCAGTATATACCAGATACTCATCATTATTTGGATGAGAGATGTTTTCCTCAAATCCCCTCTAAACCTCTCAACCTTTCACCTTAAGATTATGACCCATGTTATTGACCCTTCAACTAAGGTTGACAGTTGCTTACTATCCATCCTTTCATGGCCTTCAATCTTATACACCTCAATTTCTGCTCTAAAGAAAACAATCCAGCCTCTGGTCATAGCTAAAATGCTCAATTGCTTCATTTTCTTCCATAACTTCCTTTTGTTAGCCATGGTTTTCCACCTTGAGGGAATGTTTAGTGGAATGCTTTACAATCCTAATTCTTTTGAACAATCCTAATTCTTCAAAAATAAAGACTTGGATTGGGTTGAGGCTGCTGTCCTAAGTAACTTGTGCAGTGACACACTGGAGCTACATTGGCTTGCCTCTAATGACGAGCTGTTTCTGTTTTATTGGCAGCTACTAGAAAGTTTTTTCCTTTGATATTCATTGACTTTGATATTTATCTTTTGCTAGAATCTTTAACTGTCTCTCTATCCAAATAAATGTTTCAAATCTAATATGCCTTTGGAACTAAGGAGAGGTGGTATGCTATTGAACAAAGCAGGAAGAGGGTCAGGTAGAAAAAATGGTCAATAGTAGAGTGCATGGAACAAAAGACTAAGTAATAATGTTTGATCGTAAAAAGGCAAAACACTGGTGCAGAATGTGTTAACAGCAGAATAATGGCCAGCTCCGTCTGTACATAGTTACACTGCCATTTGGCAAAATGGAAGGCAAAATTCATGGCTTGAAGTTGTTGAATTCCATTTTGAGCTCAAGGCTATAGCGGAAGATTAAATGCTGTTCCATGATATTTGTTTCACTAGAACATTGCAGCCAACAAAAAACAAATGACATGAAGGAAATTAATTAAAATGGCAAGCGTGGGGAGGTCAGTCTTGTGGACTGAGTAGACTCTCTGCAATGTGATCATGCAAACTGGTTCTCTCCCTAATGTAGAGCGTACCAGTTGTGAGCAGTGTACACGTTATACTAATTGAAATAAGTACAATAAACTGCTACACCTAGAAAGTGTGTTTGGGGCCTAGGACGAGGAGGACGGTAGAGGGCAGGTGTTAAAATCTTTGTATGGGAAGGTGAAAATACTAACTACTTCATTCATCTTGGCAGGCATTTCTTGAGGAAAATTCAGTTTGAAAACTGGCCCTAGTTTGTAGTTAGTGGATGCAATCTACAATGGTCCTTTTGAGCTTTAGGATAGAAAAAAGACAGCAGAGTTAGCTTCAAAAACTGGCATGGCAGTTGATTTGCCACCAAGCTGAACAAAGATCAAAGGGAAACAGACCCCCTCCCTACAGAATCTTAGTTGGGAATAATTGGAATACCAAGGAAAATTGAAGTAAATTCTGCAGACAAGGCTTCTGGATTGGTCCTAGGAAAGATGAGTATTATACCCTGAAGATTTGGAAAGGAAAGGGAACTTTTGGGAAGCAAAAATTAGGATGAATAGCTTAATTCATTATAAGTTATAGTGTTAAGCTAGTGGTGCTTGCATTATTTTTTTAGTATACAATAAAGTTTGTTTTTAAAAAAAACATAAAAATTCTGAACTCTGCTACAAGATTTTCTTTAAACAGTAACAGTTTCAAATAAAATTGTGTCAGGAGATGATAAGCACACAAGAAGCCATTAGGGTAAGTACTCACAATGTCCTGCCCTCCACATTTGCATACTGAAAATCTCAGCACGTTTTCGAGTAACTAAGCCTGAGGAGAAGCAGGGCAATTTAGACAGCAATTTCCTGATATTTATGTCTAATTGTGCATGTGTGAGCATTGGAAATTGCAGTCAAGTTTTCACTCCTTAAAACTGGTGAACAGTGGCAGTAGCTCTTCAAACCATTGAAAATTATTGCCGTCCAGATGTGTCAGGTTGAAATTATGCAGTTTCACCAATGGTGGTGCTGTTTTACATCTCTCAGCTCTTCAATCTCTTTCAAAAATAACTCCATGCTTCAACCAGTTCCACCTGCCTGCTTACCAAATCTTGAAGTTTTTTATTCTATTTGACTATAATAAAGAAAACATGATTTTTGAACTGGAAGATAACTATATCTTTCTGTGGTGCAACAGGCACCAACCCCTTTAGTGGAATAAAAATCTCTTCACCTGTTGGGGGCAGGTGGTGAAGAATATGGTACTCTACTGCAAGGAATGGTTGAAGCAAATAGTATAGATGCAACTAGGGAAGCATATGAGGATAAAAGGTTACATTTAGATTAAGAAAGAGGAGCAGACTTTGACTGGAACTTAAATACTAATATGAAGCTTTTCTGTTTTATATCCTGTGCATATAAAATTAAACAAACTATGATGAATGCACAACCTGCATTGCCATGCTATCGCCTAAGTGTTGAATTGATAAATTACCTCCTATTTTGTGACATCATACAAGATTTATTAGTGTTTAAAAATATACTTGCCTTGTTAGACAAACCTGTACAAAGTCTCTTGCATTCTCAGAGAACTCCTCAGGCAGGTTCGGCATCTGACCTCTATATGCTCCAATGTAAAACATGGCTGCCATTTTGTCCATATGAGCCAAAGGTGGTTTCCCTGATGCCATTTCAAACACTGTACAGCCTATACTCCAAATGTCAGATTTCCTCCCATGTCCAGTCTCATTGATCACTTCAGGTGCCATCCAATAAGGAGTTCCATGCATTGATATTAACATTTCACTGTGTGTATCACTCATGTTCACGTAAGTCATGCGTTTGGCACATCCAAAATCAATAAGTTTTATCACACCATTAGGCATAAGCATGACATTATTTCCTTTTATATCTCTGTGAATCACCCTGTTATCATGTAAATAGTTCACTCCCTTTAAAATTTGTTTAGTATATGTACAAAAAACAGGTTCTGGTAATGGCCCAAATCGACTAATGATACCAGCAATGGAACCACCAGGAACAAACTCCATGAAAATGCTAACAACGTTTGCTTCTAGGTTTGTACCGAGAAAACTCACAATGTTGACATGTTTTAGGTTTTTCAGTAACTCAATTTCTTCTTCTAATTTCTGATACTCTTTTTCTGCTGCAATATGATTTGTTGCATCCAAAGAAACCTGTTTAACAGCGATTAATTTCCCTTGACTGGTTAGACCACAGTACACCTAAAAAGTTGGAAAAGGAAATATATATATAGCACTTACTTTAAGTAAAAGGACAAAATTGAAATGAACTCGCCTGTGGAGAAAACAACTGTTTTAACTTTTAAAAATCTATATATTTAAAAAATTAAAACCATATCTCACCACCTGATATCTCAAGTGAGCTGAACAATCAAGGTGAGAAAACAAAGAATTGCTGATGTTCGAGATCCGAAACAAAAACAGAAATTGCTGCCAAAACTCAGCAGCTGAGCTCATTGGTGGGAAGATTATTGGAGGGAAAAAATGATAGTGTAAATCGTCATTTAGGGAGACTGAGATTAATTTAAAAAGTTGAGATGTATTTGATATTTGCCAAAGTTATTTAAATTTTTGAGGTAACAAGGAAGAATGTTGAGGCTGACCTATGAGGATATTAGTGAGGCTTTTGAGAAGATGCCAGAGGGCAAGTTGGTCAGAAGACTAGCTGCTCATGAGGTCCAAAAGAAATTAAATTGAAAGTGAAAGAAAGCAAGTTAGTTACTAAGGTCACCATGTGTTTTTCATTGGGATTCCAAAGAGCTCTGTACTGTGTCCCTGTCCTGTCTTTTTTATACATATATGGATTAGACCTGCATGGGTGGCATGTAAGAAGTTTACAGATGATATGAAAAGTGGTCATGGAGTCGATGGGACAAAAGCTGTAGACTGCAAGAAGATATCATTGGAATGTCAATTTGAACAGAGACCTAACAATTAAACTTAATCTAGAGAACTGAGGTATGCAGTTGGGGAAGATGAGGAACACTAAAAGATGCATCGGAAAGATTGTGCGATCTGCAAAAGATCAGAGGAACATTGGAATTTATGTCTACAGATCCCTGAAGTTAGCAGGACGGGGCATAAGCATTAGACGCTATTTGATAAGATCGTGACAGATCTGATAGTAGTGCCAGACTTATTTTCTCCCTACCCCAATACCCTTTGACTCCCTTGTCAATCAAGGAATCTATCGAACTCTCTAAGGAAATACAGAAATGACCCAGTCTCCACTGAATCACTCGAACAACTTCAAAATCTCTAGTGTAGAGAATTTCAGCTATTAGGAAAGATTAGTTAGGCTGATCTTTGGAACAAAGAAGGCTGGAGAAATACTTAATTGCAGATTATAAAGTTATGAAATGAAAGTTATGGATGTTGCTGACAAGGAGTCATTTCTGTTCAGACAATCAAAAATCCATGAAATTTTGATTTAAATGAATTTTATGAATGGATTAAAGGAGCTTTTTTTCTTTAGGGTGTGGTGAATATCTGAAACTCACTGCGTGAAAAAATTGTAGAAGTTGAAGACTCATTGCATTTTAAATAAAGCTACTTGATGGATGTGTGCTTGGTGTTCTAGAGGACTACATAACTGGAGGTAGGATTAGATTGAAAAGCTTTTTTTTTTGTGTGGCCAGCGTATACATGGTAGCCTAAACGGTGACATTCCTGTGCTTTAAATATTTCTATTTCTGTTTCTGTGTAAAATATTAGAACTTCTAGTGAACAATTACAGCAGGAACACACAAGAATAGGAGAAGACTATTTAACCATTCAATTAGTTTAGGGCTGACCTGTGACCTAACTGCAAATGCCATCCTGTGTCAGTGTCCCTTAATACCATCTTTCTTCGAGTTTCCTGCCTGAAGGCTGGTCCTTGGTAATTGATCACTGGACCATTGCAAAGAGATGTTTTTCGTTTAAAAACAGAGCAGGGAAGGAAGGGCCTGAGTTTACATTATCTGTGATAGAGGTTCAACTATGTGTTGCTGAAGTTAATCTGATGTACATACTCACTGATGGCTAACTGGTCCCCCCTCTCCCATGCCATAATACCTGGTTAACAGAAATCCATCTATCTCAGTTTTAAGTTAACTGAGTTACCAATATTACTTCTGCAGAAGCATACAACCAAACTTCTAACTTTTGAGTAAATAACTGTTTCCTACTTTCATTTTGAAATGTCTGGTTAACTTTTAGTATGTTCCCAGTTCCTAAACTTCCCAACTAATGAACATAAATTTCTACTTGCCCTATCTCCCAAATCTACTTTATCTGTTTCACCTGCTATCTTAAGCTTCAATGAAGTTACCATGTAACCTACTATATTCTAGTGAACATACACTCAATCATTCCTTGTCATTTAAAACCTTGGAGTCCAGGTGTTCTAGGAAATTTGGATTGACTATGGGTGGACAATGTAGTGTTACTAAGGTGTGGTGCTCAAGACTGTTCATAGCATTCCAGGCCTGGTGTAACCTGGGCTTGATTGTTTTCTGTATCTGTTCATGGCATTTTAATGATCTCTGTACATAGACTCCAGGTCTTTCTGAAATTCCACTGTTTCTAGCTTTTTATCATTTTAGAAACTTATTCTGTTTCCTTTGTAGGTATCAAGTGGATAATATTAAATTTGCTTACATTGTAATCTATTTATGTCAATTTGCCCACTCATTTAATTCTTTAATATTTTTCATGCAGCCAGTTTTTGTAGCAGACAAGAAAAGTATTACAGTTTACTCTTATTGACTGTTAATATTTCAAATTTGAAATCAACTGCAGTTTACAGTTACTCACTGTGCCATAGGCCCCTTTGCCAAGCACATTTCCTTTGGTCCATATAATGGCATCCTCACAACTGGAGCTACATTCAGATTTCATAGAGTGGCCAAGTGAGCTGTTTGATCTGCTAGAAGTCTTGCATAGTTTTGTAACTGTATATTCTGCACTCTGTTGGGAGCAAAATAACCACACTTAAATCAGTTTTTAGAAAAGTTTTTTTCCTTTAAGTTTCCATTGCCATTTATTGTGGTATAACCTTTTTACTACCATGAGAGATTTTGCTAAAGATCAATGGAATTTTTTTTTAAATTACCTGAAGGCTATTCTCATTTAGTTTTCCATATCCATTTTGAAATAAGCCGTTCTTACTATCATCTTCCTTTTGTATAAATTGTTTGGTCACTTCTGTTGTGTCAGTACAAGTGTTTTTTTCTTCTAACAATAATGCTGATGCCAGACAACTAAGCAACTCGTCTGTAAGACTGCCTTGACTGTAATAGTCGGGACAATGTGGAGGGCAAATCTCTTCTGTAGTCCACGTGTTGATCATTCGTTGAACTGGAAAACTGGTACGATTGAAATCTGGGTTTGAAGCATCTTTTACTGTAGAAGATATGGTGTTGTCTTGGTCTTCAGTACGTAAAGCAATAGATTCTGTTTCATCCTCTGTAACATCCCAGATAACCTGATTAGTCGAAGCAGTTGTAGGCTCTCGTGCATCTGTAGGCCCACGGCATTCTACAATTTGACTTCCTTTGCCCAAATCTTCTACATCGTTAAGTGTGATGTTCAGTTGCTGTTGTAACTCAAATAAATCAGTAGCAAGACGATCTGCATCCTTGCATGCTCCCAAAGAATAAGACATGGACTGATCAGTTGCATCGTGTCCTGGATCATCTCCATTAACAGAAGTATTTGATTCCTTATATAAATCTTCTGAAATGTTAGATTTGATTGAAGTTTGCTTAAGTGAGATTTCTGTAATGGTTGACAAATACTGGTTATCTAGCTCAGCTTTATTATTTGATAATGAATGAAGGGAGTTTGCGCCATCTGAGAGAGTGCCAGTTTTCTCTTGGTTAATTAATTCATGGGATAATGCCTCTTTCCTGTAGGTTTTTATGTGGCAATTGTGGCCAGAAATAATCACATTTTCTGGTCCTTCATCACTGAATAAAGGAGTGTTTTTCTCTCCTGCGTTCTCATCTACATTCTCTTTTTTAACATTTCTGGGACTTTTCTTATGTTTAGAGTTCAGATTACTCTTTGAAATCTTGGCAGTATTTCTTGTAGTTACTCGGTTTGATTTGGACTTCTTGCATATTGATTGCCTTCTAGGTGGCATAGAATGAATAACTTTATGATTACTTTCACGATTTGTGGACTTTCGCGTAATGCAATACACTGGAGTGCCAAACATTTCATAAATGCCTGGGCCTTTCTCGGTTGGATTTATTTCCTGAAACATATCACTATACTTTAATGCTGAGAAATCATCTGTGAAATGTGATCTTGAAACCTGCAGAACTGGTGACTTATTAAGGCTGTTTGAAATTCTGTTGATATTTGGAAGATTTTGTCCATTAGAAAGTGATCCATTTCTCAAGAGACATTTAATTCCACCTTGCCCTTGTGTTTTCACTTTTGATGGAACTTGGTGTAGATCAGGATCTTTGAGCAAAGGGAGGCTAGGACCTTCTTTATATTTTAGTAGCTGAGCAGTGGAGGGCATAAATGTACTTTTCCTCAGCCAATTTTGTGTTGGAATGGAGAGGCACTGTAATGATTTGGCACTACATTTATTGATTCTTTCTGGAGTGGAGATATTCCTTGGATTAACACAGTTAACCTTGCTTATTTTCTTTTTCTGTTCTGGTTCTTTTGACATTAAAATGTTGAGGCTTTGGTTGCCTTTGTAAGACAGGGTCTTACTAGCACTTTTCATTTTAACAGGGGTCACTTTCAAACAATGCTGTGCTTTGGCTGGTGATTGTTTTGCTGCTGTGACATGTATGGCAGAAGTACTTTTTAAGTCAATCTTATCTTTCTGAGCCATGTTTTCCTTTATAAAAATGGCATATTTTGTCCTGACAGCCTTCTTTGGAATAGTTGCACTTTGTCCAAAATTCTCTGCTAAATTTTGAGCAGTGCCTTTGTGGTTTATGTTTTCTTTTAAATTGTTGTTTTGAAACAGATTATCACTTGGTTCAATCTCTTCTTTGCATGGAAGGGCCTCATTAACTGATGTTTTTGAATGTTGTACCTCCTGGAAATTTGTATTTTCCTCTGGGCCTATGGCTATCGAGTTAAAAAAATCTGCAGTCGTGCTTCCTTTAAGGGGCTCGCTATTCTCTAAATTCAGCTGGCTGCACTGAATTGTATCCAGTAGTATAATGCCACCTTTGCAATAACTAGCATCAACTACTTCTTCTTCATCTAAGTTTGTTCCTGCAATATCAGCTTCTTTGTATTTGCATTTTTCATCTGATCCAGCTGAAGTGCAGTATGTACTTTTTGTAGGTGTTGAATGAGTAACATCCTTTGCAAACAAATGTTTAGATATTTCTTCATCTCGAAGCTCGTGTTTGATTCTTGTACCAGAAGCTACACACTCTGAATCATTGAGTGGCATAGGAAGAGTTAAACTCGGTTTATTATTCTTAATGCCATATCCTGTTTCCGATACCAGTGTACATTGTGGTTCAAAGCCTTGAGTGTGTTCAGGGCATTGATCAACATTGAATGACTTTTGGTTGCTAGGTACACTGGCACTTGAGAATTCATTTGAAGTTGCTTGTCTGCAAGACAGTGCTAGGGATTGGTTAAGTCCTTTTCTCTTTGTTATTGATTCATATGGTGATAAAGAATGACATGGGTGTTGTTTTGATGGCAGTGTTGTAGCAGTGACATTAGAGATAGCACTGTCATTTAACTTATCAATGATTCTTCCCTGTATTGAAAGATGTTGCACAGGCACTGAAGACTTTGCATTGTTGGTGCTCAGTTGTGGTAAAGACAGCTGCAGTTGCAAAAGTACAAGAATTAGATTTTGTCTGGAGTCAGACAGATCAATTTAGAGTCAGACTATCCTGTTATGTTTAAAGTGATGCCACATATTCAAAACTTTGGTTAATTCTTGACCATTGACAATAAAACTATACTTAGAGTTGCTAGAATAGTTACGCATAGGGATGTACTTTTGTCATGAAATACTTCAATGAAAATAGTAGACAAATCTTAGTAAGGGATTATAATAAAAGCCAGGGAAATAGTTATTAAAAAATGCATAACCAATATCATATGGATTTTCCATGCAGATGCTGCTTGTAAGATAGCCTTAGATATATTGGCTCCAAGACTAAAAGGACATGATTTCTCTTGAGGATTTGTGTTCCCCTTTGAATCTTATGTTTGCATTTTGGCAGGTTAAATACATGGAGATGAAAATAATGCCGAAAATACACTGGTCTGGCTGTATCTGTTGAGAGAATAAAAGGGTTACAGTCCTGAGTTGAATGTGACTGCTTTGAGGCATCCATGGTATTTTGCTTTTCTACAAGTTTCTTTGGAGAATTTGATGTGCATTGAGATGATGGCAGGTAGTTTGTAGTTGAACCAAGAGGGTGTCCTAGTTTGTACTTCAACAGCCTTATATGAATCTTGGAGGGTTGCTCTGAATAGAGAGGAATATATTACTGCTGAGAATAAGGTCAGCAATTATCCCGGGGTCTCAGACAGCAGTGAGTTGTCAAGAGTTAGAAGCTCCAGGTTCACTTGCTGGCAAAAAAGTAGATGGAACAAGAGCATGAAAAATATGGTAATCTGTAAAGTAAGGTATTGACGACTCCCTTAATGACAAAGCAGCTAAGGCCTCAGGTATGTGTACTTTACATTTAAGAAGAAAATAAATTTAGAACCTACCTTAAAAGTGTTGCTGCTATTCTCTGAATCAGGTGCCCCTTTCTTTTTTAACTCTTAAAAATGAAAACACAGTGCATGTAGGGTTATAAATTTTGTCTCAAGTTCTGTAGTTCAAACAAATCTGCAGTTTAGGAATTGGTAAGGCAATTGAAATTGATTTTATAATAAACAAAAACAGAAGTTGCTGGAAATGCTCAGCAGGTCAGGCAGCACCTGTTAAGAAAAAAAAAAAAATCAGTTAACATTTCAGGTCCAGTAACCCTTCCTCAACTGCTGAGCATCTCCAGCAACTTCTGTTTTTGTTCCTGATTTACAGCAACTGCAGTTCTTTCTGTTTTTATTTTGTGATTGAAAATAAACTATTTAATCCATCTGAATATCATTTTTAGAATTGTTTTAATATAATTTCTACAGATTTAGTTGTTTTCATTCCTATCAAATGAGAAAACATTTGAAAGAAAAGCTGAATGATTGTCCATGTGATTAATAAGTGATCTGTTATTTTGTTTTGCTAATGGATTATCACATCATACTAGTGATTTGTATCAACTGGGAATGTTGCAGTTTGCATGCCCAATGTCATTGTCCAAACTGAATAGATGCACTCACGAAACCTTTACAGTATTGCTATCAATCCACAATATTTTAAAATCAATATGTAGGCTAACCTTTGAGACCTCCAATGAGAACATTCAGATTGATTATGTTACTTGCATTTACTCATAATATTACCTTGTAATGCCATGGGATGGTGCTCTAACAGAACTTCTAATGCTGTTATGATCTAGAACTTGTTATTACCCCACCTCATTCTAACTGTGCTTGCTCCTCAGCCACACTGACCTATTTATTGAGTCATTTCACCCTTGCTGTTCACTCACTCTTGCAGCTTCTTCAAGCTACATCTGACCTTAATTTTACCTGCCTTCAGTTTTAACCTTCAACTGTTTCCGACACTATATCGGCTCTACAAGCCCAAAAATTAATTTTGAACGAGTAGGATTTGCTGAAGAGAACCTTGCTAGATGACTAACCTTTACATTTGAGCCTTCCCTCAGTTTTGAAAAACCCTTTAGAGACATTCTTCACAGGAGCTCAAAATTCAAGTTAAAACCAGTAAGATTTTGAACCATATGAAGGGAACTACTAGTAGACCCTTTCCTCCACTCTAGAGCTATTTATTGAAATTATTGCTATGTTAAATAATGAGGCCTGATGGAATTCAATGTTTCCCATTTCTTAATCTGCCTGTTCCTGATCACAATTTCACTCCTCTCTTAACCACCTTAAATGCAATTAGTGATTTGCATAGAGCAGCATTAAGTGTATAATAATATGAATGTTATATTGCCTTTCCAGTTTTGGCACAGTGAATTGTGAAGGGAGTCTAATTTTATTAAATACACAAGGTGATGCAGGTCTTGTATACAGACAAGTGTTACACCTAGCCTTCGATTGTCGTGCTTTTCCGGTTCATCCTAGAGTAACAACTCTCAAAGGGAAAATCCCCCAAAAAGGCAGTAGTAGTTGGAAATGAATATACTGATCCTCCTTTGAAGTATGTAATGTGAGTCAAATCACTCTCATTTTTCTGCTTTTCTCCTGAGGGATTAGGGTGGGGGTGCAGGGGAGCCTTCCTTGCACCTACGACACAGCAATAACTTTATTCTTGCACCATTGAATCTGGCAGTTGTTTCAACCCAGTGCTCTGACCAATCTGGAACCTCCATATTGTTGCACAGAACCTCTCTCAGTATGAATGTGCTCCGACTCCTTAAACAGTTCCATTTGCACTCAGAAATTCTGCCAAAAGTGTAAGTGAACTGCCAGAAGCAACCCAATGAGTGATCCAATGGGTAAGGTTTATATTGCAAAGCTGAAATTGCAGTTAAAACAGCTTTGTTCAGAAAAGTTGACATATTTGACTGATCAATATTCCTGCTTTGGAATTGAGAATCGGGCATTCTAGAAAAAGGTTAACTTTAATTTTAGAAATGGTTAGACGACCAGAATTACATTTTTAGGCTTGTATGTTCGAGATAATTTGTTCTAGCCTTATACCACTGTTTAGATATTTCCCGAACACTCGTAGGTATTTTCTTAACGTCTCTGCAAAATTGTGTTGTACTCAGAAAAAGAGTGAGCAAAAGAATGGAAGTCTGCTTACTTTGCTTATGAGTCTGTGAATCTTGCGAGCAATCCAGGTGTGCTTCAGTATAATTGATAATTGGTTCAGATTGCGAGCCATGCATTCCAGTGATAATTTCAAGAGTAGGCACATTTTCAATCCATTTGTTCCTTCTGGTTGGTGCATTTAATGAAGGTGACCCCTTTAGCTTTACAGAAGCCAGCAGCATATCATCATCTGGGAGAGATGAATGACGTAGTTTTTCTCTCTTGAGACCTTTCCCAGTATTTTCCAATGTGGTCTTTGGACTGTAGATATTATACATTTTTGTTATCTTTTTGAACCTATTTAGTCATATCTGTCACATTTAAAGGCTGAGTATTTTTTCTTACATGACTACAGAGCTGTAAGGAAATCAATGACCAGATTGACAGAAGATGAATTCATCTATGCACTAGTAATTAGTTCTTGTTTCCACTGCGTGGATTTAATTTTCTATACATCATTTTAAACTTGAAGAAATAAATGTTTACAATAATTGTACATGCCAGCATAATGCATTGTGTTGATGCTTATGCAATCTAAGATCTTTCAATAGCTGTATTTACTAATGGCAAGAAATGAAGTTTTATTCTGTACAATTGCAACAAGCAATAGCAGAGTGAAAGGGAAAATGTGAGATTCCAGTAAAATGACAATTAACATGATTGCTGTATAAACCTAATTGTACCTTTTTATAGGGGAAGAAACTTGTATTTTTGGGTTCAGGATAAACAAAATCCAGAAAAATGTTTTTTTTTCTATTCATTTGTGGGACGTGGACATCACT